GGTGGGACCAGGGGCGTGCACGGCTGGTATATTTGGGGCTACTAAGGGGGGGTGGGGAAATGGGGAACAGGGACACAGGCTGGGCTCTGCAGCATCAGAGCTGGGAACAGAGCCCTGGGAAATAGACTCTGCGATGGGTGTTTGCTTGGAACTAACCCCAATAAATATCACACTGCCTGCACTTTGGACTTCTGGTCTTCTGCTTTCTGTCCACGTGGCAAGAACCAGGGATGGGGGTGAAGGGAAAACCCCCTAACACGCACCATCCCTCAGCATCCCTCCCAAACCATCATGAAACCTGCCAGAGATTATCCTGAAAGCCCGAGGATGCCAGGGGCCACTAGAAAGGAAAGCTAATCCCAGCCCACCCCCTGGAGTTTACAATGTGTGAGATGGGGGCAGGCAAGCAGCGAGATCCAACCCTGCTGAGAGGGTCTGCCAGGTGCCGAGAATCCACTCCAGCCCTTGGTAAATTGTCCCCATGGTTAATTGCTCTCACCACTAGTTCCAGTCTCAGTTTGCCTAGTTTCTGGATCACGTTATACTTTGTCAGCTGGACTGAGGAGCCCATGATCCAGTATTTGTTCCCGTGTCGGTATCTATAGATTGGGATCAAGTCACACCTTAACCTCCCCTTTGTTAAGTGAAATAGATCGAGCTCTTTCAGTCTCTCACTCCAAGGCCGGTTTTCTAACCTTTTCATCATTCCCGTGGTTCTTCTCTGAATTCCCCTGCACTCTTATTTGGATCCACGCCTCCCTCGCAGCCTCCTACCCAGCTCCCCAGACCCATTCCCCACCTGACACACTGTTCTGTGGCTGCGCTGGTGTCTTGCCTGCAAGCTGTTCCAGCCAGGAAGTGCTTGCCCAAATCACATTGCAAAAGGTCCCAGCCTCGTCAGAATCCTCATTAACTTGTGATTTATAGCTGGGATGAACGTTGCCACTAGATCAAAGGGCATACAGGGGCAGGCCACCCATTTCACACTGATTCCATGACAAGGAGTCCGCCGGAGTGGAGGGTCCTTTTGTTGCCACGATATGACTCATGGGCTTGCACGAAGGTGCAGTTAAAGTTGGTTTGGGTTCTTTGGAAAGTGACATATGACAAGGGAAAAAATTCGGCGAGCGCGCTGAGGCTACGTGAGCTTTTGGACGTCAATTATTTCCTGCAGCAGGGAGTTCCACAAGTGAGTTATCCATCACTGGAAATGTATTTCCTTTTCTATTGGATGTCAGTTCATTGCACTATTGATATAATTCCCGTAGTGCCTAGAGGTCCCAGCTGAGACCACGGCCTCCAGGTGCTGCAGAGACCCGAATCCAGATCAGGGCCCCTCCCACATTGTGCCATGCCACCTTGGTCTCCTGTTATCAAAAGGGGTAAAAAGCAACATACTAGCCCTAATCACAACTCTTACCCTAAGCCCCTACTCAACCCTAAACTTCACTCCAAGTATTAAAAGTAACCCCTACCCATAACTGTAACCGCATACCCCATCCCTAACCCTAACTAACTAACCTCTACCCAAAACTGTAACCCTATATCCCATCTCTTACCGTAAATCTAACCCCTAACCAAAACTTCAACCCTATACCCCATCCATAACTGTAAAACTAACCCCTGCCCATAACTGTAACCCTATCCACGCCCTAACCCTAAATGAACCCCTGCCCATAACTGTAACCCTATACCCCATCTCTAATCCACCAAAAGTGATTTGAGGGCTGCAGAAATTGCCTGACATTGTTTATCTTATGAAAGAGAGGATTGTTGTATTGTGTAACAGCCATAAAATCCCGGGAACTAAAGGGCTTTGAAGCCTTGTGGCGAAAGTCAGAACAAGAACCAATGGCTGGCAGCTTAAACCAAACAAATTCCAATTGGAAATATGACCCTTTAGAGATTAGCTAAATTCCTGGAGGATAGGTCTGTCCCTGGTCGTTAGCCGAGTTTGTCTGGGACGCAACCCCATTATGCTCTAAGGTTCCACTAGCCTCTGTTTGCCAGACACCCAATAATTGCCCTGTTCTGTTCATTCCCTCTGGGGCACCTGGCAGTGACATCTATACCTTGGGGGAGCGTACTGTAACATCCATATTCCTCATTTTCATATAATTGTGATCTTACATATAAAGCAGGCCTTGTAAGGTATCAGGGGAAAGGTTATGAAGAGGCCAGCAGCAGGTCTGTTTTCTAGGCAGAGGGGCCATGATGCTCTGCGCGCTGCCCCTGCCCCAAGCACTGGCTCTGCATTGGACAGGGGGCGGTGCCTGCAGGCGAGAATCCTCCGCCTAGGAGTCGGACCTGCTGCTGGCCACTTCTGGGGCGCAGTGCAGTCTGCAGTGCCAGAACAGGCGAGAAGCCTGCCTTAGCACCTCTTTTGCGCCACTGACCGGGAGCTGCCGGAGGTAACCCTGTGCCCAGCCCTGTGCCCCAATCCCCTGCCCCAGCCCTGAGCCCCGCCAAACCCAGAACCCCTTCCTGCACCCCAAACCCCTGATCCTTGGCCCCACCCCAGAGCCTGCACCCCAGCCCAGAGCCCTGACCCCCTCCTGCACCCCAATCCCCTGCTCCAGCCCTAAGCCACCCAAACCCTGAACCCCTCATTCCCAGCCCCACCCCACATCCCTCACCATACACTCCAACCCTCTGCCCCAGCCCTGAGTCCCTCCCACACCTCGAACCCCTCATCCCCAGCTCTGTTGGGTCGTGGGCATCAACAATTTTCTTCAACTGGGTCACCAGAAAAAAAGTTTGAAAACCACTGCTCTAGAAGATCCAGTACAACGACAAGTTCTGGGCCCTCTACAGCAATAACTTCCTGGCCCATGCTATGCCACAGTTCAGTCTGGAAGCTCCTGGTGGTTGCTCGTGAGTCATCTAGAAAGGTGAACTGCCAAAGGAAAGTCCAGCTGGGCTTTGTTTCATGGGCCACGTGCCGGGTAATAACAGGAGAGGATGCTGTGTTTGTATGAGTACATCAGTTCTTTATTAAGAGAGCTATTTCTATAGACGCTCCTCTGGCAGTGCCATTTCAGCCACAGGCACACAGACTGACTTCCAGATGCCGCCTCCAAATGCTTCCCTCCTGCAGCCTGTGCTCCTCCCTCTGAGTTCCACGCAGGTGGCTGCAGGGTTTGCGCCCTTTTAAGAGGCCTAGAAAGAAAATTTCCAAAAGCAATTTATTTCCTGCCTGTCAAATGGGAAGTATGGCTCAGTGGATGCAGCACTGGGAGCAGCAAAGGCAGCAGCAAAGCTGGGAATCACAACCACCAGGGGGTTGTGATTCCCAGCTTTGCTGCTGCCTTTGCTGCTCGCCTCTAAAAAAATTCAAAACCTCTTGCTCCCAATCCACTTCCATAGCTCCTCCAAGGAGAGCACTGTGACGTTATTGACATAAACTGTGACCGTATAGATCATTGTTGCAACCACTGTTCTATATTTGCAGCAAATATTGTACAAAGGTTGTCGTGTAAGGTGTCTATGGAAAGGTTATGATTTGCTGATTATGATTATGCTATCTGTGTGTATATATCATTTTTGTAGTTGAAGTTATGAATATTGGCTATGTGCTTGTATCTTAACCAGGAGGTCAGAGGAGATGATCCAATGTCCCCTTCTGGCCTTAAACTCTATGACGCGGTGAAATTTCCCCTCACCATCCCCAGGACAGTCCCGAGACAGAGACTGGGGGAGGGAAGGCGCAGCTCTGGGCTGAGAGGGCCCCTTGGCAGCTGTGGCGCATCCTCCGATGGGAGGATCTGCTCGAAAGGGGCCGCTGAGGGTCAAGCAGGGGGAGAGAGTGAGGGAGACGCCGTCTGCAGGGTGGGAGCCAGTTTGCAGCTTCTGGGCCTGAAGTGATGCACAGGAAAGTGTCTGGACCCAACCTGGACACTCAATTACAGAGCCCCCTTTCCCTCCCCCGCTCTCTGCTGAGGGAAAATAACCAGACCCAACGACAGGAGCTGGGAAAAGCTCATAAGGCTGAGTGAGTGTCTGAGGCTGATTGGGAGCGATCTGTTGCTGTGCCCACGCCCCAAACCAAAGACTGAGCAGGGAGATAGGTGGATAAGTCCATCAATGGCTAGTAGCCAAGCTGGGCAGGCATGCAACCCCATGTTCTGGGTGTCCCCAGCCTCGGAGTGCCAGAAGTTGGGAGTGGACGGCAGCGTATGGCTCACTCGACGATTGCCGGTTCTGTTCATTCCCTCGGAAGCACCTGGCATTGGCCACTGTCGGCAGACAGGATACTGGGCTAGACGGACTATTGGTCTGCCCCAGTGTGGCCGTTCTTATGGGGAAGTCAAGGTTGGTTGGCTTGTTTTAAATCTGTTGCTGCTAAATTGTATAGTCAATTGCTTGACCACACGTTGGTTCATTTTGAAATATATTCCAGAGACCAAATAGCCAGTGTCAGTCAGGTTTGTGAATATGGTAAAGGAAAAAGGTTCTGTACACTTCCAACCTCCGAGGAGCCAGCCCGTGCTTGTCTCTCCCTGCCGGGCATGATGGGCTGGAAATGGTGTGAACCCAGCATTAGGGGCACAGCGCACCAGAGGGGGAAGAAAAGGAGGCTGCAGTGATGAGGGTACAGGGGGAATCGTGGGAAGACGCTGGAGGGCTCATTGCTGTGTCCTCATTGCAAAGTGTGAATGTTGGGTGGGGGAGCTACCAGCACCTGGATTCTCACCCCCGAGGCAGGCCAGCCAGCTGGGTTTAAAGTCCCCCACAAGCCCAGCTGGAGCTTTTTGTCTGTGGACAGGACGGGGGTCAGAGGCAACACCCAGGTGAGCACCTGGGCTAAGTCTGCTGTGTAGATGTACTACCACCTAAATGCTGTGTCTTTAAGGCCTAATCAGGATCCCCAGCCCGGCTTTGTAGCCACTCGGGTCCCTTTCTCAGGACTCCTGGGTGCTCTGGGGAAGCTTTCCCTCCCGCAAGGCGAGGCTCTGCCCCACCAGGGTGTGTCTGTACCACAGTATGATTTCACCGCCTGAATGCCCAACACACCAGCAAAGTTGAGAGCTCCCCCGCCCACCACCAAGGGCACCGCAACCTTGTGCAGCATCCTGGACACCCTGCCCGCGGTGAACGCCACCTGCGCCCTCCTTTCCCTCCTCGCCGTTGTGAGCTACGAGCCAGGAGACCTGGTGAGTGGGGCGGCCCCATGGATGCTGGCTGAGAGCTGTGGGCATGGCTGGGGGAGACAGAGGGACAGATGTGTGTGTGGGGGGGAGACAATGGGTGGGGAATGCTGGGAGAAAGAGGGCATTTATGGAAATAAGTCCATGCATATTCATCAGCCCTGCAAATTAGGGTGGTTGCGAAGGACCCATCCCCCAACTCAGCCTTCCTAGTGGAGCTGGGTCCCACGGAGAATTTCTGCCGTTTTGAAATTGCTTCCTTCTGTGCTTCAGAGCTGGACGCTCAGCCAGCAGCTGCCACTCTCTGGCCGCCCAGCTCTGAAGGCGGAGTGGAGAGATAGGGAAGCGCAGAAGGAAGGGCGGCACGGTACGGCATTGCCACCCTCCCTTCTCTTTAATCCATTCATTGTATGCCATGTTCAGTTAATATCGCTCTAGCTTTTTAATCAAAATGCCAAGTCAAATGCCTTACAGAAGTCTAAGTCTATTACATCAATACTATCACCATTATCAGCCACACTTGTAATCTCATCCAAAAAGGATATATCAAGTTAGTGTGACGGGATCTATTTGCCATAAACCCATGCTGAGTGGCATTCATTATATTACACTCCTTTCATTCTTTATTAAGTCCCTTATCAGCTGTTCCATTATATTGTTCAGGACTGACATCAGGCTGACCAGCTTGGGAAATCACATGTACTCTTTTTAAATATTGGCACAATGTTAGCTTCTGTCAAGTCCTCTGGAACTTCCCTAGTGCTCCAAGATCTATTGAAAATCAGCATTAGCAGCCCAGTGAGCTCCTCAGCCAGCTCTTCTAAAACTCTTGGTTGAAAGTTATCTGGATCTGCTGATTTAAAAAATGTCTATCTTTAGTGGCTGAGGTTTAAATTCCTCCCGAGATACTAGTGGAAAGGAAAGAGTGTTATCATCATTGGATGATATGACTGCAACATCTGTTTTTTTTTTTTTCCCCAGTTACAGAACAGAAATATATATTGAACACATCTGCATTACAGCATGTTAAATGTTAAATATAATATATATACACTATAATATTTCAAAGTTTTGTTTCTCTAACACTGTAATTTATGTAACCGTTCTGCCCATCTAAATTGGCAGCAACAAGGGCCGGGTTCTGTATCTAGGGGTTCCGTTTCAATAACGCAATGCAAAACTGGCTCGAGCCCCCACCCAGTGACCTGGGACAATTACATACCACCCTCTGGGCACCTCTAAGAGGCAATACTTCCCCTCTCGCAAGCACGGAGTCTGAGTGTAAAAGAAAATGTTTAATAACATGAGGTAAACGACATCAGCATGAAATTGGAAAAACACCACAAACAGGATTCATAACACAAACCATGAGCAAAAACCCACCCCAGCAAATTGGGCTGTGTCCTTTCCCGTGGGTTCTTGAAACCAGCAACCCAAGAATCACCAAAGTCCCAAAAGTTCAACAACCCCCTAAAGTCTCTGTCCCTGGTCAGTGCAGTCCCAGAGTTCAGGGGTGGGTGGGGGCATGCAGGGTGTTAAGGGGCACCTTACGTGATCCGAGGCCGACCGGCCGCCTCTCCGTGGGGTTCCGCCACAGCCTTCACCACGAGCCACTCCACTCCACCAGCTGTCCCGTGAGCCGCTCCCGCCGTCCCATGAACTGCTCTGCTCTGCCAGCTGCTCCGCTCTGCTCACCGACCTGTGAGCCGCTCAGCTCCAACCGTCCCCACGAGGCTCCACTCTGCTAGCTGCTCCCCCAGCCACTTAGCAATATAGCTTCAGGCTCCCCCACTAGTTAACACAGCCTCAGTGATCTCAGCTCTTAATAACTTTAGTTTTTTTGTGATTTCAGCTCTTAGCAATTTCAGCTTATAGTAGGGGAGCCCCAGTGCTAGTGCACCATTGGCCCAAAGTGAATTCAGCTCAGCAGTCTGTAACTAGACTCCTAATGGAATCAAAGTTAGCTCTGATATTCAACAGTGGAGAGAGGAATTAGTGCAATTGGTGTTTCAAACCCTCAGAGAGAGCCCATAGCCTCCAGTACAAATACCTGTCCCCATCCTCTCTCTATTCACTGGGTTTTGTAACCCATGCCCCTTGTCAAGCAAGTGCTACTTAGGTAATGGTGAAGGACTCACTCAGTCCTTCTGTCATACAACAGTTCCACTGGCCTTGATTCACAGAATCAGGGTAACAAAACTTTATTCTTCCTGCCCCAATAACAGAGAAAACTGGGGATCCCACACCAGCCAAAGTAACCTCTTTCAGTTGCTGTTGTCTCATGCCAGGCAGGTGGGTGTGCCTATGCAAACAAGATCAGCCCCTGGAGTTCTTTTCCACACTCACCATAATTCACCACCAGATGTCAGGGTAGAGCTCATCCTGACTCTGCTTACATCTAGCTGCTTCCCGGCTCTTTGAGCTCTGGTCAAGTGAAAAATTCTCTAAGTTAAATATACTCTATACAAATATATTAAAATATTTTGATCACATCAAAACACTACAGGATAATATAAAATATCTAGAATATTAAATATAATAGAATATTAAAAGATTATAATAGAATATACAAGTTTAAATGAACTGAGAAAGTCAAAACAAAACATTTTCACTGGATCAAAATTAAATGAGAAAGTCTAAATGATTTCCACTTTTTTCCCATTGGAATTGACGCGTTCCTGTGAAACATTTACATTGTGACAAAACTCCATGTTCGGAAGGAAAACAATTCCTTGGAAATTTCCCTAGTGACTCCCCTCCCCAGGGTAAAAATCCAAATCAGGCGAGGTTCAACGCGCACGGCAGGACAATCTCACCAGACTGCATTTGGGGTTATATGGGAAACTCAACGCCGCAGGATGGGCAGCAGGAGTAAAACAAACACAGGGAAGTTGTTCGTCACACAACGCATCCTAGGTGCTGACTCCGTCCATGCTCTGGGGCTCAAGCACCTATGGGAAAAAAATAGGGATGCACAGCACTCACGCCCATGCTCCGCCCTAAGACCCCGCCCCTGTTCTGCCTTTTCCTCCGTGGCCCCGCCCATGCTGTGCCTCTTCCTGCCCCGGCTCTGCCTCTTTCTCTGAGCACGTCCCGCAGCTCCCTCCTCTCCGCTCCCTCTCCCCGTCACGCACCCTTAAGGCAGGAGGGGGCAGAAAGGAGGTAGCAGTGGGTGGGAGACACTTGGGGACTCAGAGAAGAGCGAGCAGCGGGCAGGCAGGGGGAGCCCCGGGGGAGGAGGCAGAGAGAAGCAGGCATCAGGCACCTGGGGATGGATCACTTGATAATTGCCCTGTTCTGTTCATTCCCTCTACAGCACTTGGCACTGGCCACTGTTGGAAGACAGGACACTGGGCTAGATGGACCATTGGTCTGACCCAGTGTGGCCGTTCTTATGTTCTGTTGGAAGCAGATATTGGAGTTGTTCTCATGGGTGGCTAGTGAGAGATTCCCTGGTACCCAAAGGGCAGGAGAAAGCATCAGTTGTGCCTGATTGTCCATTACCCAGGAGCATCAGAAGGGATCCAAGAAGTAGTACATTCGGGCCAGCTTGGAACGGACCCTGGTTCTTCCCCTTTGCCGAGCAGGAAATGTGAGTTCAGTGTCTCCATATTCACTTCTCTCTTCGCTCCTTTCCAGAGACCCCTGGGCTACTACCCTGAGGAGCACTTCACTGAGGCAGAGCCCAAGCGGCTTATTGCAGCCTTCCAGGCACGTCTGGAGGAGATCTCCAAGGAAATCCAGCAGAGGAACAAGTCACTGCCCATTAGCTACCCCTACCTGGACCCCGTGGAGGTTCAGAACAGCGTGTCCATATAACCCTGCAGGGCACCTCCTCCCAGTGCTCAGAGCACTTTCCACCTGGCCTGAGAATGTCTCGATGGAGCCAGCGGGAGGTTTCAGGGAGATTTGGCTGGCAGTGCTCAAAATGTGACCCCTAGGGGCACCAATACCAGAAGGCAAATAAATAGAACCTCACATTTATTATGATTAATCTAATTATTTTTCAGCCAGTCTCATGATTTTGGAGGGCCTGGCTCATGGGATTTGAACACATGGTGTTGGCAAGACTTGCATTTAAAATGTGATCACTGGGCAGCTGAATTAGATGACAGAACAAGGAGCAATGGTCTCAAGTTGCAGTAGGGGAGGTCTAGGTTTGATATTCAGAAACACTATTTCACTAGGAGGGTGGTGAAGCACTGGAATGGGTTCCCTCGGGAGGTGGTGGAATCTCCATCCTTAGAGGTTTTTAAGGCCTGGCTTGACAAAGCCCTGACTGAGATGATTTAGTTAGGGATTGGTCCTGCCTTGAGCAGGGGGTTGGACTAGATGACCTCCTGAAGTCTCTTCCAACCCTAATCTTCTATGATTAGCACCCGCTGCTGTGAATCTGGGAAGTAGCCCATCCTCAGGCTAATGGACTCAGGCTCTCGGCAGATTCAGGCAGCATTGCTGTGTCAGTTACACTCCGGGCAGCTCCCCCCTTTCAGACCGATTGGCTCAGGCTCTCTGCTGACTCAGGCAGGCATCTCTGCGTCCATTACACTTGAGGCAGTTCCCCTTCTCAGAACAATTAGCACAGGCTTCCTGCAGACTCAAGCAGATGTTGCTGCATTGGTTACACCTGGGGGAGTTCCCCCCCCTTCACATTAATTGGTTCAGGCTCTCTGCAGACTCAAGCAGACATCACTGTGTCAGTTCCATTCAGGGCAGTTTCCCCTTCTCCGAGCTATCATCTCAGGCTGGCTGAAGATTCAGGTAAGCACCTCTGCATCGCTTACACTGCTTGGGCAGTTTCTCCCCGACTATATCAATTTAATTCTCATGGTTATCAAGCCAATCTTATGATTTTTGCAGAGCCGGGCTCATTACTTTTGAACACTGGTTGCTGGCAAACTCGGAAACCCTCAAACCATTTTGTGTCCCAACGCCAACGCTCCCTTCCTGGCAAAGGACCCCCAGAGATTATCAGTGTTACACAAGACCAAAAATGCCCTTTGCCAAGTAAGTGTTTAAGCAACTTTACACTTATGGAATCAGTAGAGTTACCAATCCTGAGCATCACGAGTGAGGTGCAAAATTATCACAAAATTGGCTTCCCAATCATAAGAATTTAATAATTAACACATAATTATGGGTTCTTTATAGTGGGCTTGTGGTTTGTAAGCCTGGAGGAGTAACATTTTCACGCTGTGGTCCACAACTGGGCAGTCAAGAAATTTATTTTTTATTTTTAAATGAAAGATGAGATTCTCCAGCAAAGATCACGTGACTCCTGGAACTGGGGCATTAAGGAAAAGAGCAGACATTACGTGGATCATGACAGAATCAGGAGAATTAAAATTGCAGTGTTGTTAACTATTTCATTGCCTTCCAACCTCACTAGGCAGGTCCTCCCTTAGAACTCATGATACTGAATTGAAAATCATGAGATTAAAAAATAAATAAAAATTCTGTGATCTTTTTAATCTGTCGTCTGCCTTTTGGAGATTTTAGGGGTCATATTTTCCATCTAGAGCTAGAAAGTCGAGCTGGATGAAATTCAAAATTTTTATTCCACAAGAAATTCTGAGAGTTTAAAATTCGGTCTCATACCAAATCAGGAGAATATGTCAAACTCTCAGCCTTTGTCCCAAAATGAAATATTCAGAAACTAGTTTCGCCCTTACTGAAATATTGTGTTACACAATCCAGACGTCCAAATGAGACTGTCAAAACAAAACATTCTGTCCTTATGCAAATGGAATGTTTTGATCATTGCCGATTAAAATTCCAGTAGGAAGAAGAAAAGAAGGCTACCACCCCTCTAGGACTTTGGAGCTACCGGTTCAGTTCTCCGCTCCGTCACAGATGTCCTTTGTACATGTTTTATTACCTGTACACCCAGTTAAGTGAAACTCCACAGGCATTACACAGTCCAGTCACTGATGAAAAGGTGACAGAAAATACACAACCACTGCAATGAATTTGTGAGGCCAGGTCGACACTGGAATTAGCTCGACCCAGCGCTTTCACTCAGGGGTGTGAAAAATCCACACCCTCGAGTGACATAGTTACGCTCACTTGCGCCAACTCCGAGGGTGCTCCAGATCTGGAGACCTACGGGGAAAAAATGGTGGGTGTTGAGCACCCACCCACAGGCCCTCTATAAGCATCTCCCCCTCCCCCCAGTGCCTCCTGCCAGGGCCGGCTTTAAGCCGATTCGGCCGATTCCCCGGAATAGGGCCCTGTGCCTAAGAGGGTCCCACAAAGTCTGGGGCTGCCGGCGGAGTGGGGAAGAAAAAAAAAAAGCCGCTTCCTGCTTCTCCCCCTGCCCTCCAGCGCTTGCGTCGCCATACAGCTGATCAGCGCAAGCCTGGGAGGGTGGGGTGAGGAGGAGGAATGCGGCGTGCTTGAGGAAGACGTGGGGCCAGGGCGGGGATTTGGGAAGGGATCCAACAGGGCAGTGAGGGGGCGGGGATTTGGGGAGAGATCCAATGGGGCAGGGAAGGGGTGGAGGCGGGGCAGGGCCAGGGCAGAGTTGGGGCAGGGGGGGCGCGAGACAATTTGCATCCTGGCATGGGGCCCCGCACCTGCTAAAGCCAGCCCTGCATCCTGCCCACCAGCGGGCCCCACTGATCAGCGTCTCTGCCTCCCTCCCTGCGCCTCCCACCTGTCACAATCAGCTGTTTAGCAGGGTGCAAGAGGCTCTGGGGGGGGGGACAGAGGACGAGTGAATACTGGGCACACTCAGGGGAGGGGACGAAACAGGGCAGAAAGAGGCAGGGTGGGGTTAGAGCAAGGGGGTGGGAAAAGGTGGGGCGGGGTGGGGCCTTGGGGGAAGGGGTGGAGGGGCAGGCCTGGGGCAGAGCCGGGGGTCGAGCACGCCCCGGCACATTAGAAAGTCGGCACCTGTGGTTACACTAACCTAATTCCCCAGCCACTCAGATCAAAAATGTGCAACAGTGTGAACCTAGCACTAGTGGTGCAGCACCAATGTCTTCGTGGGCCCAGAGCAGGAGAACCCACCTAGCCCTGAGGTGGCTTGGGCTCGATGCACAGGGACTTCCTGTGTGACCCGGGGGAAATCACTCAGCCGGGGGCTGGGTAGGTCTGTTCCCCAGAGGGGTCACCCCACGCAGATTGGGCTGGTAGGTTTTTAAGGCCAGAAGGAACAATTATGAGCCCCTACTCTGAGCTGTCTAGCCCAGTGATCCCTGAATGGAGGCCAACAACCTCTGGAGGGGCTAGAACCAGATGCACAATCCCAGGTAAAGTTCTTCAGGGTCCATTAATGAATTATCCACCCAAATTGCTAAACAAAAAGTCATTTCAAATGGAAAAATCCAAACGTTTAATTTTAAAAATGTCAAAGCAATTTGGGATTTATTTTTTCTAGTGAAATAATTCGGTGAAATTGATACAGATCCGTGCAATATTTTGGTGTCACCAGATCTGCATTTTTTTGGCAAAAAAAGGTGCGGTCAGACAAAAATTCATGCAGCTCCAGGCCCACAACTCAGCAGAGAGCAGTGGGGTCGCTAAGACAGTAAGACTGGGTGGCCCCAACTTTCGGGTGGGTGGGCAATGAGGTGGGTAGGGGGTGAGGGGCAGGAGGGAGGGGGATGGCGGTTCTGGGGAGGGGGGCAAGAAGGATCAGGGGTGCAGAAGGGAACCAGTGCTCTGAGGAGGGGGCAGGAGGGATAGGGATTCTGGGGAGGGGGGCAAGAAGGATCGGGGGTGCAGGAGGGATCTGGTGCCCTGAGGAGAGAGAGAGGGAGGGGGGCTCTGGGAAGGGGGGCAGGAAGGCTCAGGGGTGCAGGAGGGATCCAGTGCCCTGAGGAGGGGGAGAGGGAGGGAGGGCTCTGGGGATGGGGGCAGGAAGGCTCAGGGGTGCAGAAGGGATCCAGTGCCCTGAGGAGGGGGGCAGGAAGGATGGGGTCTCTGGGGAGAGGACAGGAAGGCTCGGGGGTGCAGGAAGTATCCATTGCCCTGAGGAGGGAAGCAGGAGGGATGGGAGGCCCAACTCCCCACCCCCTCCATCTGGCCCTTCCTGCTCAGCAGGCACCTGAAGATGAGGCTGCCCGGGGCACCCATGGGGCTGCAGGGGACCCTGCTGGGGATCAAGCTCCACCCATCCAGACCCTGGCCTGGGTGTCTGTCCAACTGGCCACGTGGCGTGTCCCTCTCCTGCCGGCACAGTGCACTGCTCCCCCGCCCCCAGTCTCCGGCCCCAGTGCTAGCCCCAACCAGGCCCACCCCCATGGGGGCTAGCACTGGGGCCAGAGACCGGGGCAGCAGCATGCGGCATCGACAGGAGAAGGACATGCGGTGGCTGGGCTGACAGGTACTGAGCCAGGGTCGGGAGTTCCAGCCTGTGGATTTGGGAGTCTCCGTTCCCAATTTGGCTGAGCCTGGATGCTAAGTGGTTGGGCCGCGGCCCATCCATGGCTACGCCTCTGGGAGAGAGTCCGAGTCCTGATCTGCATGCAGAGTGGCTTCGGCGTAATGAAAGGTGAAACTTTTACACTGATTTTAGTTCAGAGATTCATAGAGTTCAAGGCCAGAAGGGACCACTCTGACCTTCTAGGCTGATGTGCTGTGTGACACACAAGAACTCCCCCAGAATAACTCCTACTGGAACCAGGGGACATCTAGCACTTCCTCCAGCGAGGCCTCCAGCCTGGATGTGAAGCCATCAGGAGATGGACAATCCACATTAGGGTCGCCAGGTGTCCGGTTTTCGACCGGAACGCCCAGTCGCAAAAGGACCCTGGCAGCTTCAATCAGCACCGCTGACCGGGCTGCTAAAAGTCTGGTTGGCCCCAGCAGGGCCAAGGCAGCTCCCTGCCCGGCTCCGTGCGGCTCCTGGGAAGCAGCGGCATGTCCCTCAGGCTCCTAGGCGGAGGGGTGGCCAGAGGGGCTCCATGCTCTGCCCCCGCCCGCAGGCGCTGCCCCAAGTATCAGCTCTGCAGCTCCCATTGGCCAGGAATCCGCGGTGGGCGCAAATCCAGGGTGTTGTGGCCAATGGGAGCTGCAGAGCCGGCACTCAGGGCAGTGCCTGTGGGCAGGGGCAGCGTGCGGAGCCCCCCTGACCACCCCTCTGCCTAGGAGCCGGACATGCCGCTGCTTCTCAGGAGCCGCGCCGACTTCCTCTGTCCCTGGGAAATGCCAGCACAGTGCTGGTGCAGCTGCTATTTAAGAGGCCTCCGGAGGTCAGCGCCTCCTGGAGCCCCCATGAACCGCACTAGCCAGAGCCACCAGGTGCCCACACCCCAAACCCCCTCCCATGCCCCAACCCCCTGCCCCAGCTTGAAACCCACTCCTGCACACAAACTCCCTCCTGAAGTCTGCACCCCGCACCCCCTCCCACATCCCAACCCCCTCCCCCAGCCCTGAGCCTCCTCCCGCACTCCAAATTCCTCGGCTCCCTCCTGTACCCCCAAACCCCTGATCCACGGCCCCACCCCAGAGCCTGCACCCCCAGCCAGAGCCCGCACCCCCTCTCAGACCCCAACCCTCTGCCCCAGCCCGCAGCCCCCTCCTGCACCCTGAACCCCTCATTTCTGGCCCCATGCCAGAGCCTGCACCCCCGAGCCTGCACCCAGCCTGTACCCCCTCCCACACCCCAACCCTCTGCCCCAGCCTGGAGCCTCCTCCCACACTCTGAACCCCTCGATCCCACTCCCCAGCGCAGAGCCTCCTCCTGGACCCCAATCCCTGGCCCCACCCCAGAGCCCACACCCCCAGCTGGAGCCCTTAACCCCTCCCACACCCCAGTCCCCTACACCCCAACCTGTACTTCACTCCCGCAGCCCTTACTCCCTCCCATACCCCCAGCCCCAGGGACCCTCCTGCTGTTCCTAACAGCTGCCCCAGCTAGATGGCTCTGCACCCCACAAGTGGCTGCTTGGGGAGGAGGGGGGTCAGGTGGAGATGCTCCCAATTTGCAGCTCCCTTCCCCAGTAGCCCCTACCTGGGAGCCTCCACATCAGCCCCGCTGAGCTCTCGGGGGTACATCCACATTGCAGTTAAGCACCCTGCTGGCCTGAATTTGTGGCCTGGGGCTGTAACATTGCTGTTGAGACATTTGGGGTCTCTGAGTCCCTCCCCCCTTGGGGCTCTCAGAACTTGGGGTTCAGCTGGCCCAGACACAAGCCCTACAGCGAGCCTGTCAGCGGATAGGGGCAGCCAGCTTTAATTGTTGTGTAGACACACCCACCCACACCCCCTCCCAGCATGAAGGACACAGCAGCTGCTAGCCTAGGTGTGAGTGCAGCAGGCCAGGCCCTCCCTGCAGGAGGGGCATGTCGGCTAGTGTGGTTTGGGATGTGTCTCTGTCAGTGCAGCCAGGGGCAGTGCACTCCGGGGCCACTGCAACCCACCCAGTCAGCAGGGCACATCAGGAGCCAGCAGCCAGACATCACTGCGCAAAGCCTGGCACTTCGCACTGCTGGGTGCCTGCCAGAGTCTGCAAAAAGGTCATATGGTGTGATGGTGCCAGCAGGACGGGCAGCACAAAAGGGGCCCGGCAGCAGGGAACGCACAGCGTCACTAGCACTGATGTGCGCGGATCGGATGCAGATACAAACTTTGTATCTAGAGCCCTGCAAATCTGCGGATATCCACTTTGTATCCACGGACCATTCCTGTGGATTGGATGTGGATACAAATTTTGCATCCACGTAAATCTCTAACCATTACAATCCTCTAGTCCAGGGGTGGGCCACATCTGGATATGGAAATTGTATGGCAAGCCATAAATGCTCATGAAATTGGGGGTTGGGGTGTGGGAGGGGGTGAAGGCTCCGGCTGGGGGGTGTGTGGGCTCTGGGGTGGGGCTAGAAATGAGGAGTTCAGGGTGCAGTAGAGGGCTCCGGGATGGAGTGGGGCTTGGGGTGTGGATGGGGGGTGAGAGCTCCAGCTTGCGGTGTGGGCTCTGGGGTGCAGGAGGGTGGGACCGAGGGGTTCAGAGGGTGGGAGGGGGATCAGGGCTGGGGCAGGGAATTGGGTCACTGGGGAGGGTCAGGGCTGCAGGCTATCAGCGGCGCTTACCTCAAGCAGCTCCCAGAAGTAGCGGCATGTCCCGCCTCTGGCTCCTACGCGGTTGCCAGCCAATGGGAGCGGTGTGGGTGGAGCTTGGGATGGTGGCAGCGTCTAGAGCCTGCTGGCTGCCTCTACATGTAGGAGCTGGAAGGGGGACATGCTGCTGCTTCCGGGAGCTGCGCGGAGCCATGTCACGTGCGGACCGGGGCAAGCCCTGGACCCCGCTCCCCGGAGGAGCTCGAGGGCCGGATTAAAACGTCTGAAGGGCCGGATGAGGCCCCCGGGCCGTAGTTTGCCCACCCCAATCTAGTCTGACCTGCTGTATAACACGGGCCGTAGTACCACAGCCAATAATAGCGACGTGGAACCCAGAACGTGGGCTTAGGCTATGCGATCACTTTTAGAAGCTATCCAGGCTGCACTGATTAAGGCAGCGAGGGGTGGGGAATACAGCCGCCCTGCAGAACGGCCCAAAGGGAAAAGTTAGGACCTGACCAATTATTTCTCATGCTAGAAAAAAGCCAGAGGTTGTCACAGAAAGCAGCAGGGAAACGTCAAAGAATGACAGAGCTGCATGAGCCTCAGGCACACGGCTTCACGGGAGGGCCAGTAACAAAGGCAGGGGCAGCGACTGGTTGGATAATTCATCCAGCTGGCTCCACCCAGGCTACACCTGGGTTCAGAGGAGCCTCTGGCGGAAAGTCCCCCAGAGACTGCAAGCAGCACGGCCTGGTTCTCCCAGCGGGGAACAAGCCAGACCCTCCTGCGCACTGGGTCCGCTGGAATTCACCGGGAGGTGAACAGATTTTAATCCTCCCCAGTGAGGGCAGCTGCTGTAGCTTCAGCAGATGTGAATGAGCATGTGTGTGAGCCTGACCCTGCTCTGGCTGGAGTCACTGGGCCCGATCCTGCGCCGCCCCATTGTTCCGACTCGGCTGTGGATACAAATTTTGTATCTGGAGCCCGGCAAATCTGAGGCTTCTGACCCGGTCGCCTGCCTCCGCTCGCTCCCCCTGTCACAGGCCGGGGCTGGAGCAGCTGCGGGGGCGGGGCCGGGAGAACAAAGCCCAGAGCCCTGGCAGCTCCTGGGGGCGGGGCAGCTGCTGCTCCCCAGGGTCTGTGCGGGGGGAGCCCGGCATTAACCCCTCCGTGCTCGGCTTGGGGCTTTCTCCAGCTGGGACCCGCCCCCTGGGCAGCCCCGGGCTCTGCCCGCACCAGCCCCCGGGCCGGAGCCCCCCGGTGAGTGAGAGACCCGGGGGGGCGCTGAGGCCGGGCAGGAAAGTGACTCTCCGCCCCGGGGAACCTGGGAGAAGCCTCGGAGCTGCCTCGGCCCCAGTGAAGCTGCAGCAGGATCTGCCCCCGGCCCCGCTGGGATCGGGGGGGTAGAGACTGGGGCCTGGCGGGGGGGGGGTCCCCTGTGGGGTGGGGTGGGGGTGTCGGGCAGGGAGGGGAGAAGCCGGAGTTGTTGGGGGTTGAGCTATCTCTGTGCGGCCAGGAACTCCCCGAGGGAGAAGTGGTTGGTGGGTGGGGGGAGGGGAGTTAATTGGAACCTGTCCCTGTTTGTGCCACTTGCCTCCCACCCCATGATACAAATTCTCTCTAGTTCTGCCCCTTTTCTCTCTCAGTATCTCACACATGGCTATAAAATCTGGGGAGATTTCCCCCCCCCTTTCCCCTCGAATGATCAGCTCTCTCCTGATTTCCACCGTTCTCTCCATACTTCTCAAATGTCCATCGAAAATCTCCCATTTCATGGGGTTTCCCCACCCATTTTATCTTCACTAATTTGTGTTTGTTTAGTGGGAAATTGTTGCCCTGAGTCAGGGATCGGGGGCTGTTCGTGGAGCCCTGAGACACGGCTGACTCTAGGGTGGGAATGTGGTGTCCCTTCTGTGCCAGCAACAGGGTGGGGGAAGGGAGGAGCCAGTGTCCCCCCTGGAGTCTGCCCACCCCCTTCGGTTCTGCTCCTTTCTAGCATTTTGTTCAGAGAATTTGTTACTGGGGCGGCTGAAAAATCTCCCTGTGGGCTTAGCCTGGTAGGAGGGGCCAGGTCTACACTGGAATAAAGAGATCAGCATTTTCCCAGCATGGCAGAATGTAGGGTGTCTGTCTGCAGGGAAAGGGCCTGGGGGAATTGTGGTGTGAAAGTAACTAAAGCCTGTTCTGAACCCTCCACAACTGCCCTTCTCATCATGCCAGGCTGCAGAATGACGTCCATGTTTTGGTCCAGTTCATCCCGTCCTCCCATGGGACAGGGGAGAGAAATGGCTGCAGAGGAACCCGTTCAGGTAGGGATTATTGTTGCTGGTGGGTTCCTGCAGGAGGGAGAGGGATAGCAAATACACCGGAGATGGGAAGGTTTGCACAGTCTGGTTTGGAGGTTTGAGCGGGGCAGGAAATGCACAGGGTGGAGAAAGGGAGGAGGACAGGGTGTGGCAAACCTGTGGGAGTTAAGTATCAGAGGGGTAGCTGTGTTAGTCTGAATCTGTAAAAAGCAACAGAGGGTCCTATGGCACCTTTAAGACTAACAGAAGTATTGGGAGCATAAGCTTTCGTGAGTAAGAACCTCACTTCTTCAGATGCAAGTAATGGAAATCTCCTGAGGCAGGTATAAATCAGAGATAACGAGGTTAGTTCAATCAGGGAGGGTGAGGTGCTCTGCTAGCAGTTGAGGTGTGAACACCAAGGGAGGAGAAATTGCTTCCGTAGTTGGAAAGCCATTCATAGTCTTTCTTTAATCCTGATCTGATGGTGTCAAATTTGCAAATGAACTGGAGCTCAGCAGTTTCTCTTTGGAGTCTGGTCCTGAAGTTTTTTTGCTGTAAGATGGCTACCTTAACATCTGCTATTGTGTGGCCAGGGAAGTTGAAGTGTTCTCCTACAGGTTTTTGTATATTGCCATTCCTGATATCTGACTTGTGTCCATTTATCCTCTTGCGTAGTGACTGTCCAGTTTGGCCAATATACATAGCAGAGGGGCATTGCTGGCATAAGATGGCATATATAACATTGGTGGATGTGCAGGTGAATGAGCCGGTGATGTTGTAGCTGATCTGGTTAGGTCCAGTGATGGTGTTGCTGGTGTAGATATGTGGGCAGAGTTGGCATCGAGGTTTGTTGCATGGGGTGGTTACTGAGTAAGAGTTGTTATGGTGCGGTGTATGGTTGCCGGTGAGAATATGCTTAAGGTTGGCAGGTTGTCTGTGGGCGAGGACTGGCCTGCCTCCCAAGGTCTGTGAAAGTGAGGGATCATTGTCCAGGATGGGTTGTAGATCACTGATGATGCGTTGGAGAGGTTTAAGCGGAGGACTGTAGGTGATGGCCAGTGGAGTTCTGTTGGTTTCTTTTTTGGGCCTGTCTTGTAGCAGGAGGCTTCTGGGTACACATCTGGCTCTGTTAATTTGTTTCTTTATTTCCTTGTGTGGGTATTGTAGTTTTGAGAATGCTTGGTGAAGATCTTGTAGGTGTTGGTCTCTGTCTGAGGGGTTGGAGTAGATGCGATTGTACCTCAGTGCTTGGCTGTAGACGATGGATCGTGTGGTGTGACCGGGGTGGAAGCTGGAGGCATGAAGGTAGGCGTAGCGATCGGTGGGTTTTCGGTATAGGGTGGTGTTAATGTGGCCATCACTTATTTGTACGGTGGTGTCTAGGAAGTGGACCTCCTGTGTAGATTGGTCCAGGCTGAGGTTGATGGTGGGGTGGAAGCTGTTGAAATCATGGTGGAATTCTTCCAGGGTCTCCTTCCCATGGGTCCAGATGATGAAGATGTCATCAATGTAGCGTAGGTAGAAAAGGGGCATGAGTGGACGGGAGCTGAGGAAGCGTTGTTCCAGGTCAGCCATAAAAATGTTGGCATATTGTGGGGCCATGCAGGTGCCCATAGCGGTGCCACTGGTCTGGAGGCATATATTGTCACCAAATTTAACAAATTCAACTGTGGGAGTTGTTTAATAAGCAGCCTAGATTCTAGGAACAGGCCCATGAGGTTCAGAGGTGGAAATGACCTAATTCGTTGAACAGAAAATAACCCTCCTACATGGGGTAGGAAAACTGACCAGACTCATAGTGCTGGAACCTGACCCGACTAACCAGTGGCTGCTGTGAGATATGAAGGGGGCACCCACCAGTGAGGCTTAGGGGTGTTGCCCCTCCCTTCATATCCAGCTCTGCACAATGAGGAGGGTGTTGGGCTTCCTACCAGGCAGCTCTACCTGAACCCTGCTAGTGGCTCCATCTCCTGTATCAGTCTGTGACTAGAAGGTGTGTGATGGATCTGCTGGGAGAGACCAGGGGTTCTCTCTTCATCCCCTCACGCTGGTGTTTCCTGGCTGTTCTGAGCGGGGTGGGACTCTGTTGACTGCGATGCTCCTATTTGATTGGCTCGCAGTTAAAAAGGTCGTAGAGCAGTTTTTAAACTAAGGGCTGGGGGAAAGCCACCAGGTGCGGAGGAGTATGTGGTTTGGACATAGAGAATCTCCATTAATAGCTCCTCCCCTATGTCCTAGTAAGGAGGAAGGGATGGAAGAGGATAAAATACAGGTAGGATCTGATGAGACAGTCAAATGAAAAAAAGTCCCATTTAATTACAGGATGTAATGATAGACAGCTAAAAAGTGACAAGTTTTTAAAGTGCTACCATGCTAGAAGTCTAAATAATAAGATGGGTGAACTAGAGTGCCTCTTATTAAATGAAGATATTGATATAATAGGCATCACAGAAACTTGGTGGAATTAGGATAATCAATGGGACACAGTAATACCAGGGTACAAAATATATCAGAAGGACAGAACAGGTCATGCTGGTGGGGAATTGGCACTAGATGTGAAAGAAAGCATCAAATCCAATGAAGTAAAAATCTTAAGTGAACCAAACTGTACCATAGAATCTCTATGGATAGTAATTCCATGCTCAAACAGTAAGACTAGAGCAGTAGGGATATATTACCGGCCATCTGACTAGTATGGTGTTAGTGACTGAAATGCTCAGGGAAAGCTCTTAAAATAAACTCAATAATAATAATAATTAATAATAATGGATTTCAACTATCCCCATATTGACTGGCAACATGTCACGTCAGGATGGGATGCAGAGATAAAGTTTCTTGAGACCTTAAATGACTGCTTCTTGGAGCAGCTGGTCCTGTAACCCAAATGTGAAATAGTTGTGGGTGAGGACAAAGTCACAAAGTTCAGCCACCAGGTTTTCCGTGGCATTATCGGGGATACTGTTCCTGATAGCATTGCTGGCACATGATGGCATATATCACATTGGTAGATGTGCAGGTGAACGAGCTATTTCACATTGGGGACAATATATACCTTCAAGTCAGCAGCACTGCTATGGGTACCCGCATGGCCCCACAGTATGCCAACATTTTTATGGCTGACTTAGAACAACGCTTCCTTAGCTCTCGTCCCCTAACGCCCCTACTCTACTGGCGCTACATTGATGACATCTTCATCATCTGGACCCATGGAAAAGAAGCCCACCATGATTTCAATAATTTCCATCCCACCATCAACCTCAGCCTAGATCAATCCACACAAGCAGTCCATTTCCTGGACACTACTGTGCTAATAAGCGATGGTCACATAAATACCACCCTATACCGGAAAGCTACTGACCGCTACACTTACCTACATGCCTCCAGCTTCCATCCAGGACACACCACATGATCCATTGTCTACAGCCAAGCTCTAAGATATAACCGCATTTGCTCCAATCCCTCAGACAGAGACCAGCATCTACAAGATCTCTATCAAGCATTCTTAAAACTACAATACCCACCTGCTGAAGTGAAAAAACAGATTGACAGAGCCAGACGAGTACCTAGAAGTCACCTCCTACAAGACAGGCCCAACAAAGAAATTAACAGAACACCACTAGCTATCACCTTCAGCCCCCAACTAAAACCTCTCCAGCGCATCATCAGAGATCTACAACCTATCCTTTACTCTCACGGATCTTGGGAGACA